GGCCTTTGTCACAATCTCCAGAAACAACTTGCCTGTACTCATGGTTCTTACAAGTTTACTGAAATGAAATGCTCCTGGGCCATGGAACCACGGCCCAGGATGATTAAAACAGGAGGCCGCTTTAAAGCTTCTGCCCTCCACCTGGGCTTTCCCATCCCTTCATCAGTCACATGGGGTGTGTGGGGGGGGGTAGGCGGCCACACAAAGGCGGGGTCGCAGGCACACCAAGCAGAAGGACCCAGACACCCAGACTGGACGTAGACACCCAGGAATGCAATCACGTGCACAGTCACATGGGCACGTCCACTCGTGGGCTACACTCACAAAGTCACACCCAGTCCCAGCAGCCGCGCATGCGCCGTACACACCCACCTACACCTCTCCACACACACACACACACGGCGCTCCCCGAGGCCTCTCCCACCCCTTACCGGCCCAGGCCGCCCCTACTTCCCTTCCCCTAGCGCCTGAGGCGGCTCTTACCTCCAGCCCAGTTTGGCGGTGGTAGCGGTCGTGTGGGTCGGGAGCCGCTGCGGCCCGGCGGGACCCGCAGGCGCGGAGGGCGCGGTGGAGGCCGGCCTCCGAGGGCGGGGCGCGCGGCCGAGCGAGCTCGGGCCGCCTCCCTCCTCCGCAGCCGTCCGTCTCTCCAGCTCGTCTCTCCCGCTTCCGGGTTTGGAGGGGGGCGGGGCCACGTCGCAGGGAAGGGGCGTGCCCACGTCGTGAGCGATGTGTCGTAATGAACGGGCGTGGTCTCCCGTGAGAAGGGGCGGGGACATCTCCCGGGGGTGGGAAGGGGCGGTGCGAACACTGCGCGGGCCGTCACTATGGTGACGGGGTGGGATGGGGGATGCAGGTGGAAAACTGGTGCTGCCGGTGCTGCTGCCGGGAGGCCTCGGTAAAAACCTTAACGGAAGCGGCGACGCTCAGGACCAGACCGGCGACGCCTCTGGGTCAACGCTAGGAGCCTGGCAGAAGAAAGGGGCGCTGGGTCCCTGCTGTGCAAAGCTTTGGGGGTGGGAGGATGTCTTTGGGTTCCAGGCTTTGGTGAACAGGGCCTGATATCCTCACTTTGGTCCTCCATAGTTCTTGACTCTGGGAACAGACTCTGTTGCTCCAGACACACATCCCCATCCCCTGGGCATAGCACATAAATGTCTATAATCCTGCCAGACATTATGACTGCCTTTTTCAGGGTGCTGAAATAGTGGATAAAGCCAAATTATACCACAGAAACCTTGCCTGATGTTCTTGAGAAATCCTGCAACAAGGTCCTATTGAACCTCTCGGATGTTCAGGCAGAGCTTGATATCTTGTTAAAGGGCCCTGGAAAGTTGGGGAGGGAGGCAGTAGTTCACCCCTACTTAGGATCTCAGGAGGCTGAGATCTGAGGTTCAGTCAGCCTGGGCAGGAAAGTCTGAGAAACACTCATCTGGTAATATATCTAGAAGTGTTTTGTAGGAGTGTTTTCAATTAATGCTACCCTGCCAGAAGATGGATGAAGAGGGACAGAGCTAGTGATGGCTGTTTATGCTGCTTCAGCAAACCCTAGCCAGGACAGCTGCAGATTCTTCTAGCACCATGGGCCACCTGCTCGGAAGTCTGCCGCCTGTACTTGTGCATGGTAAGACAGCTGGCTTTCACAGACATTAAAAGTTCCTTAGGGGGGGACAGGAAGCAACATGTACTTGCCATGTGTTGTTTTGGGAACAGCTGAGGATACAAATGTGACCACAGGGTCCTTTCCTAAAAGAAATACTATCTTCTCCCCCTCTCCCCCCAGTTCCCACGCACACACTGGCACTTAAACTCAGGAAATGTGGGGTGGGGAAAATCTGCACTTTTGTCACTATGTGTGGGGAGAAAAACTTAACTCTAAAGCCTGGAAAAACTTAAGTTGCAGACTCTACCATTCTAGTGATAATTTTAGGCAATTTACTTAGTTTCTTTTTTTGCTAAGTGTTACTAAAACTGGAGTGCTAAGACATCCCTATGTTATTGGAATTTGTCCAAGTTCGATACTAGAAGCTGAGGCTTTTGGGGGAACACAGGTCACGCAAGACTAAGGATGTGGTTAACTGCTATTAATCCTATATACACTGAGGCCTAGGCTTTTTTATGCTGCTACTGTGGCTTGAACTCAGGACCTGGACTATGTCCCTTAGGATTTCTTGTTTTTTGTTTTGCCAATCCTGGGGTTTGAATTCAGGGCCTGGGCACTGTCCTTGAGCTGCTTTTCTTCCCCCCAAGCTTCTTTTGTTCAAGGCTAGCACTGTACCACTTGACACAGCACCATTTCTGGCCTTTTCTGTTTATGTGGTACTGAGGAATGGAACCCAGGGCTTCATGCATGCTAGGCAAGCACTTTCCCACTAAGCCACATTCCCAGCCCTGACTGCAGTTTGATCTACAAATTCTAAGATCAAAACTGAATGTTTCCACGTGCTGGTGGCTCATGCCTATAATCCTAGCGACTCAGGAGGCTGAGATCTGAGGATCACAGTTCAAAGCAGTAGAGGCAGGAAAGTCTGTAAGACTTATAATCTTCAATAAACTACCAGAAAACTGGAAGTGGCACTGTGGCTCAAGTGGTAGAGAACTTGCCTTGTGCTGAAGAGCTGAGGGACAGTACCTAGGCCCAGAGTTCAAGCCCCATGACCGACAAACAAAATCAAACCTGAATGTTGTTTCCTTCTAGCCAGATCAAGTCTGTGGCACACTGTACTGGAATAGTGGCATTGGGTCCAGGGTGGATATTCAGAAAAGAAAAGATACTAATGTCTACAGTCTGTGACTATAGGCCTCAACTAATGTAAGTTTTTCATGATTTGTCTGTGATGACTGATTTGTTGATTAACATTTGGAAGTGAAGAAACCTCAATTCTGTCCTTGGATAAGACATTTCCTGTGTTTGCCTTCTTGTCTGTTCAAATTTGGACTAAACTTTTTTATTTTTTCTTTTGGGTCCGGTCGTGGGGCCTGAACTCTGGACCTGGGCACTGTCGCTCAGCTCTTCAGCTCAAGGCTAGCGCTCTACCATTTGAGCCATAGCGCCACTTCCGGCTTTTTTCTTTTTGCTTATGTAGTGCTGGGGAATCGAACCCAGGGCCTCAGGCTTGCAAGGCAAGCACTCTACCACTGAGCCACCTTCCCAGCCCCTGGACTAAACTTCTAAGTGCTTTCCAATTCTAAGACTTTTAGTCTATTAAATTCTATAATATACAAAGAGCTTACACTGTCCCAAAAGAAATGTATTCTTGGGCTAGGAGGGTGGCTCAGTGGTAGAGTGCTTGCCTTACACGCATGAGGCCTTGGGTTTGATTCCTTAGCACCACATAAACAGAAAAAACTGGAAGTAGCACTGTGGCTCGAGTGAATGGTAGAGCGCTAGCTTTGAGCTGAAGAGCTGAGGGACAGCACCCAGGCTCAAAGTTCAGGCCCACAACTGAAAAAAAAAAAAAAGATAAGAAAAAAGAAATGTATTCTTTACCTGATTTAGGTAACTGTTACCCTTTCGTATATCACCTTCATAATAATAATAAAAGAAATGTCTACAGTATTCTACAAAATTAGATTCTTTCATTTAAGATTCTATAAATAAAAAACCACTTAAGGTAGCTGTTGTAAATGTAAAGAATATTTTTAGCCAGGTGCCGGTGGCTCATGCCTCTAATCCTGGCTTCTCAGGAGGCTGACATCTGAGGATCGCAGTTCAACTGGGGCAGGAAAGTTTGTGTGACTCTTCAATTAACCTTCAGAAAAACCAGAAGTGGCGCTTTGGCTCAAGTGGGTGAGTGCTTGCCTTGAGCTGAAGACCTGAGGGACAGCGCCCAGGCCCAGAGTTCAAGCCCCATGACTGGGGGAAAAAAAAAAAAAGAGTATTTTTAGTCAGGCACTGGTGGCTCACACCTGTAATCTTAATCCTAGCTACTCAGGAGGCTGACATTTGAGGACTACAGTTTAAAGCCAGCCTGTGGAGACAAACCTAAGACTCTTGTCTCCAAATAGCAAAAAGGAAGATGTGAAGGTGTAGCTCAAGTAGTGGAGCACCAACCTGGAGAGAAGCTAAACAAGAGCAAGAGATCCTGAGTTCTAATACCAACAACACACACACTCACATACACACACATACAGAGCTAGACTGCTAACTTGAAGAGGGTACTTCAATACCTAGTATCCATCCTGAATCCAGGGTGGATGGGAAACTGCATTCTATTTGATGGGTATTACCTCAAGATTCCAGATGTAGCCTAAAGTAGCTCAACCATGACCTACTCTTGCGGTGCACTCCTCAGCACTGAGCTGTTTCATGAGGGGTGAAATTACTGGACTGTTGTTGGGCACTGCCTCATCAAATGGACAAGGACTAGACGTAGTCTAACCTAAAAGGCCCTACCCAAAGGGCAATGGTAATTGAGAAATCACGTAAGACTCACTCAAAATATAGGCTGGTGGGCCCAAGACCACAGACTGATAGGCATTAAGAGACTGGAACGGCTGAACAGAGCACACAAGCCATCATGGAAACAGGAAGGAGGTACAGAGGATGCAAAGCCAAACCTCAGAGCTATCAGGCTCTGCATGCCTTTCCCGGGTCTGTCCATTCACACTCCCAATGTGACCTTTCCTCTCTTAAAGGTCTTCCAAGTCATGTGCTTTGCACCTCAGCCTAACTTCATACTCAAAACTAAATCAAATTCAACCAGAGAACCTCCCTTCATAATACACACATACCAATGGATTGTCCTCGCTGTTTGGGAAAGATATAAACTCCTTGAGTTGGACAATATAAATACAAATTTTATTTAAGCTTCCTTTGTTATTCCTGGGGGGCAGGGAAGATAAAAACAGCTTCTTACTCCCATTCACAAAGGAACGGAGAGGGAGGCCGGTGTCTTCATGATGGTAATTCCCTCTTCCAGTGTCCCCTCCTCTCAAAGCCTGGCTGTTCCCTGTGAATAAGGTTTTTTAATAAATTACACACCATGTAGGTTCTTGTCCCATCTGTCTCCTTCCTATTTAGTGTACTGTTGCACAGCAACGAGTTCTTTTTTTCCGCTTCTCGGTCGGGAGTCTGAGTGTGTGAAATCTGCACTGGCGTGCTTCAGCTGGGGAGCCTTTCTGATGCCACTGGTGCAAGTATCCATTGTGGAAGTCAGCAGCTGTGAGTGCTTTCTTAAGCATCACTGATCGGACACCAATCCAGCCATCCTAAAGGAAAAGGACCACAGTGATCAGGCAGAGGTGGAAAAATTGGACAACTCGGAAATATTTAAGCTTATATTTTTTGCGGGGGGACAGAAGTGGGGCTTGAACTCAGGGCCCTCCGGCCTTAACAGCTAATATTCTATCCATTTGAGCCAAATACCTCTCCTTCTGATGTTTTGGTAGTTCATTGGAAATGTGCATCTCGCTGACTTTTCTATCTAGGCTGGCTTTGCACTGAGTTTCCTATTTCAGCCTCCAGAGTAGCTAGGATTACAGGTGTAAGTCACTGGTGCCTGGCTAGTTTACAGTACAGTGTGTGTGTGTGTGTGTGTGTGTGTGTGTGTGTGTGTGTGGTCACTGGAGCCTGGCTAGTTTACAGTACAGTGTGTGTGTGTGTGTGTGTGTGTGCCATTATTTAGGGCCTAGGCACTGGTCCATTAGCTTTTTTTGCTCAAATCTAGTGCTCTATACCAAATGAGCTATGCTCTACTTCCAGCTTTTTGGTGGTTATTTGGAGATAAGAGTCTCACAGACTTTCATGACCAGACTGGCTTTGAACCATGGTCCTCATAAATTTCGATCATAGAAACAAATCCTCACTAAATTCCTACCTGCAAATATCACTTACCTTAACACATAATTTCCTTGATTTGGAACTTTTTATTACGAAGGAGAAATAAATGTGTAGACCTATACCTATTTTAACACACAGGGAGTAGAATGGAAATTTACCTGGTAACTAATACTATCCTTATTTTAGTAAACTGATGCCCAGGCTCATGGGTGATTTTTTTTTGTTTTCCAGTTTATCAGACCCAAATTTACATGTTCCAATAGCCTAGTTGCTTCTGCAACTGATAGCCACAGATGCCAACCAAGATACATGCACCTAACACCATTCTAGACCAGGCTGGAGCTCATGATCTAGTCTGTGAAGGTTGATCACACTATTACACACTCAACCCCCCACTTTCCAATACATAGCACCTTACACAAACATCCTGTGACAGAAAACACCCAGGACGTGGAAAGAATGTGGGACACCTCTAAGGATTTGTCATCGTCAACACAAAAACATCATCATAAATCATTCTGAAATATAACTACTGAGCAGAAAAACCAATTATACTACATGCTCTCTAGCTAGTAGGCTAGCCAGACACTTTGATAGACTGTTTTTAAGTTACCAAGCACAAGAGGTTGTTATTGAAATTACCAAAAATAAATCTTCTCTTGAGAAAGCTATGTAATCTTTCACTGAGTAGGAATAATGTCTCAGTAAAATACTATTTGCAAATAAATTATGTCTGGTTACTGGTAGCTCACACCTACAAATAAATTATGTCTGAATCCTAGCTTCTGAGATCTGAGGATTATGGTTAGAAGATAAGCTGGGCAAGAAAGTCTTTGAGACTTTCTTGTAACCACCAAAAAATCAAAAACACCTGGAAGCAGAGTTGTGGCTCAAGTTCTAGAGCATGAGCTTTGAGTAAAAAAAGCTAAGGGGGTCTGCACCCTAAGTTTTAAGTCCCCACACACAAAAAAGCTAGAGATGCTGCCATTTCTTTTTCTTTTTTTTGGTTAGTCATGCACTTAAACTCTGGGCCTGGGAGCTATCCCTGAGCTCAAGGCAAGTGTTCTACCACTTGAGCTACAGTGCCACTTCTGGTTTTGTAGTGGTTAATTAGAGATAAGAGTCTCACAGACTTTCCTGCCTGGGTGGGCTTTGAACCCTGATCCTCAGATCTCAGTCTCCTAAGTACCTAGGATTACAGGCGTGAGCCACTGGCGCCTGGCAGATGCCACGTTTTTTTTTTTTTGGTTGGTCATGGGGCTTGAACTCTGGGCTTGGGCGCTGTTCCTGCGCTCTTTAGCTCAAGGCCAGTGCTCTACTGCTTGAGCCACAGCACCACTTCCCATTTGCTAGTGGCTTATTGGAGATAAGAGTCTCACGGACTTTCCTGTCCAGGCTGGCTTTGAACTGCGACCCTCAGATCTCAGCCTCCGGAGTAGCTAGGATTACAGGCATGAGCCACTGGTGCTTGGCGTCACCATTTCTTAAGAACACTAAGTGGTCTGTTGGCTAAGAGCCAAGAACTGTTGGCTCATGCCTACAATCTAGCTACACGTAGGAAGCTTATATCTATAAGATCCCAGTTTTAAGCCAGCCTGGGTAGAAAACTCTGGAAGACTATCTCCAATTCACCAGTAAAATGCTGAAGTAGAAGCATAGCTCAAATGGCCAAGCATTAACTAAGTGTGACAGGCTCTGAGTTCAAATCCTGGAACCAACACAGACAGATAGACACAGACAGACAGACAGACACACACACACACACACACACACACACACACACACACACACACAAAGATGATATATGATATAAACTCAATAAAACAAAGATGATAACTTGAAACTAAAGGAGGATGTACCTTGCAGTAAACCAGCAGTACCTGAGACCGTTTGTGGTAAACCACTGAACCTGGAATAACAGCATGTTCTGTTAATTTTGGATCTGAAGGGAAAACAAAAAAAGGTTTGAGTAACAGAGAATTATTCAGTATCAAGGTACTTCTTAGAATTAAAAAAAAAAAAAAAGCAGAGCTGGGTGCTGGTGGCACAGGACTGTAATTCTAACCACTTAGAAGGCTAAGATCTGAGGATCATGGTTTAATGCCCGCTCAGGCAAGCAAATCTATGAGATTCTTTTCTCTAATTAATCACCAAAAAGCCAAAAGTGGAGGTGTGGCTCAAGTGGTATAGCACCAGCCTTGAGCCAAAGGACAATGCCTATGTGTCTCTGATCATATAAATAATATTCATCAAAAAGAACTCTAGGAAGCTGGGCGCCGGTGGCTCATGCCTGTAATCCTAGCTACTGAGGAGCTGAGATCTGAGGATCACGGTTCAAAGCCAGCCTGGGCAGAAAAGTCCGTGAGACTCTTATCTCCAATAGACCACCAGAAAACAGGAAGTGGTGCTGTGGTTCAAGCGTAGAGAGCTCGCCTTGAGCTGAAGAGCGCAGGAACAGCGCCCAAGCCCAGAAAAAAGAACTCCAGGAAATGGAAAGAAGAGGGTTTTTTGCTTTGCCGTTTTTAGTTTCTTTTTGTCTTATTTACCTTTCTTTGGAAAGATAAGGGGATGCACAGAAATGGAGGGACAAAGGGTGAACAAATGCAGCTGTAGTACTCATTAGACACTGCTGAAAATGAACCATACAAGCCAGGTGCCAGTGGCTCACATCTGTAATCCTAGCTACTCAGGAGGCTGAGATCCGATGACGGTTAGAAGCCAGCCAGAACAGGAAAGTGGATGAGAACTCAGCTCCAATTAACCACCAGAAAACCAGAAGTGGGACTCCAAGTGGTACAGCACTAGCCTTGAGTGAAAAAAAAGCTCAGGGACAGCGCCCAGGCCTTGAGTTCAAGCCCCACAACTGACAAAAAAAAAAAAAAGAAGAAGAAAAAAGAAAATGAACGATACAATTTATGAGTAAGGATGGAAAGGGGAATTGGGAGAGAACAAAGGAAGGGGAGACATTGCCCAAAAAGAAATGTACTCTTCGCCTGACGTTTGTACCTGTTACCCCTCTGTACATAACCTGTATAATAACAATTTACAAAATTTTACCCATGCCCCCACCCCAAAAAAAAAAGGTTAAGAGACAGCACCCAGGCCCTGAGTTTAAGCCTTAGTACCAACCTACACACACACACAAAAGCAAGAGTAGGTGTGGCTCGAGTGATACAGTGCCAGCTATAAGCAAAATAAGAGCGTGAGGCTGAGTTCAAACCTTAGTTCTGGCACAAATGAACAAGAAAATTAAAACAAGCTGGGCACCAATGGTCAAACCTGTAATCCTAGCTACTCAGGAAGCTGAGATCTAAGCCAGCCAGAGCAGGAAAGTTACCGAAATTCTTTTCTTTTCTTTTCTTTTAATACATTTTTTATTGTAAAAATACTGTACAGAGGGGTTAGAGTTACATGAGCAAGGTAATGAGTACATTTCCTATCAAGCACTGTTGCCTCCTCCTTTTTGTTTTTCCCCTACCATCCCTTCCCTCCCACCTCTACAATTACACTCCCCCCTCCCCCCTAAATTGTAAAGTTTGTTTTTCAACATAGTGTCTTGTACATCTCATTGTTACAATGGGTCAACCTGTATCCCTATTTAAGCATTTTGTTTTTTCCTTTCCCCTCCCCAAATTAAAGAAGTGTGTGTATATATATATATATATGATGCAAGGCACTGACAAAAAATACAGTGAAAATGGGGTTATACTGTGGGGGAGGAACATACAAAGAAAAAAAATCACATGGTACATTATAAATATGTTAGAATCAATAGCAAGAAAGAAAAAACCCTATCTTGGGGTTCATTTTGCTTAACATCATCCTATCTGGTCATATGTACCTAGCTTTTGACCTTTTCTGCTTGTCCCAGACATATACTAGTTATTGCAAATAAGGGAAACCATGGGACCTATGTTTCTTTGGGCCTGGCTTACTTCACTTAATATAATTTTTTCTAAGTCTGAGGGGCATCTGGGTTGGTTCCATATCTTAGCTATGGTAAATAAACCGCAATAAACATAGTTGTGCTGGTAGCTTTAGTGTGGTCTTGTTTGTGATCATTTGGATAAATGCCCCAAAGTGGGATTGCTGGGTCATTTGGGAGCTCTATGTGGAATCTTTTGAGGAACCGCCATACTGCTTTCTAAAGTGGTTGAACAAGTTTACACTCCCACCAACAATGCAGTAAGGTTCCCTTCTGGCCATATCCCCTCCAGCATCTGTTGTTATTAGGGTTCTTGATTATAGCCATTCTAACTGGGGTGAGGTGGAATCTCAATGTTGTTTTGGTCTGCATTTCTTTTACAGCTAGAGAGGTTGAGCATTTCTTCATATGTTCTACTGGCCATTCTTATTTCCTCTTCAGAGAAGTTTCTCTTTAAGTCTTTAGCCCACTTATTTACTGGGCAGTTGTTTCTTTGAGGATTTGTTGTTGTGGGATCTAATTTTTTGAGTTCCAGGTATATTTTAGATATGTCCATTGTATGGCTAGTGAAAATCTCCCAATCTGTAGGCTTTCTACTGATCTTGCTAGCTATGTCCTTTGCCATTGAGATTCTTTTTTTTTTTTGGGTCCAGTCGTGGGGCCTGAACTCTGGGCCTGGGCGCTGTCCTTCAACTCTTCAGCTCAAGGCTAGCGCTCTACCACTTGAGCCACAGCGCCACTTCTGGCTTTTTTCTTTTTCCTTATGTGGTGCTGAGGAATCGAACCCAGGGCCTCAGGCATGCAAGGCAAGCGCTCTACCACTGAGCCACCTTCCCAGCCCCTCCATTAAGATTCTTATCTCTAACTAACTACCAAAGAAGCTGGAAGTAGAGCTATGACTCAAGTGTTAGAGCGGAAAAGGTCAGATAATGTGATGTTAGGAAAATGAACCCTTAGATATGTATTTTAATGTTTTTTTCTTTCATGCATTTGTTTCTAACGCATTTAGAAGATTATCTCTTTGTTGCTTTGTATGTCCCTCCCCCACAGTATAACCCCGGCTTTCACTATATTTGATGTCAGTATAACTTGTGGAGGAGATGGGGGAAAAACAAGTCGTTTAAGGATACAGGTGGACCTGTTGCAACAATGAGAAGTACAAGTTGTCATGTCGAAAATGAGCTTTACAACGTTGGTGGGAGGGGGGAGGATTGGGGGGGGAGGCTGGGAAGGGATGTGAAGGGTAAACAAAGGAGGAGGCTGCAATGCTTGATAAGAAATGTACGCACTATCCTGCCCATGCAATTGTAACCCCTCTGTACAGTATGTTCACAAAAAATAAAATTAAATTGAATTAAAAAAAAAAAGTGTTAGAGCACTAGCCTTGAGCACCAAAACTCCCTGAGTTCAAGCCCCAAGACCCATGCATGTGTGCATGCCCATGCACACAATACTGAGAGGCCATGTTTTCTTTCCTTTTTGTCCTTTAGCTTTTGCTCAAGGCTGATGTGCTATCACTTGAGCCACAGCTTCACTTCTGGCTTTTTGATGGTTAACTGGACATACGAGTCTCATGGACTTTCCTGATTGGCCTGGCTTTGAACAGCAATCTTTTTGTTTATTTTATTTTTATTTTTTGGGTCTGGTTGTGGGGCCTGAACTCTTGGCCTGGGTGCTGTCCCTCAGCTCTTCAGCTCAAGGCTAGCACTCTACCACTTGAGCCACAGCACCACTTCCAGCTTTTTTCTTTTTTGCTTATGTGGTGCTGAGGAATCGAACCCAGGGACTCCTGCATGCAAGGCAAGGGCTCTACCACTGAGCCACCTTCCCAGCCCCTGAACTGCAATCTTTATGTCTCAGCCTTCTGAGATTATAGGACTGTAGGTGTGAGCCACTGGTGCCCAGCTAAGACATTTTTGTAATAGACTATAGGGAAAACATCTTCCACAGCAACTATTCAGAAATTAGTACCTTTAAGGACTGAGTTGTTAACTTCCACCAAATCCAGAAGTTTGATGGTCTTCTTCATCCAGAGAGTCTGCAACGGAGTCTGCAGTTGAGAAGAAAAAGGAGTCACAAAGGGAGGCGCTTGCCCCAAACCTTTTCCATGTATTGTTCTGTGCTCTTCTAGTCTGTCTTGTCTTGCATGTACAGAGGAACTGGGATCTTGGTTGTTAAAATTATAGAGTCCATGAGACTCTTCTCTTCAATAAACTACTAGGGAAAAAAAAAAGTTGGAAGTGGAGCTGTAGCTTAGTGGCAGAGCACTAACCTTGAGCAAAAGGAGCTTGGGGACAGTACGTAGACCCTAAGTTCTAAGCCCTAAGTTCTAACCCCAGGACTAGTACCCCCCCCCAAAAAAAAAAGAAAAAAAAGAAAAAAAAAACCCAAAACTTTAAAGAACATTTTAAAAGTAAATGTCTAAAAAATAAAAAGGAGAAAAATGAGGTTTAGTTTGTTCGTTTGTTTTTGGGTCCGGTTGTGGGGCCTGAACTCTGGGTCTGGGCGCTGTCCCTCAGCTCTTCAGCTCAAGGCTAGCACTCTACCACTTGAGCCACAGCGCCACTTCCGGCTTTTTTCTCTTTGCTTATGTGGTGCTGAGGAATCGAACCCAGGGCCTCATGCATGCAAGGCAAGCACTCTACTGCTGAGCCACCTTCCCAGCCCCTGAGGTTTAGTTTATAACATCATTTCTAAATCAAAATACTCAGCAAATTACGTACCCTCATAAAGGAATAATCATTAGGTAAAGCTGACTTTCCAACTTACTTACTATATTTCCAATGGCACGATAAAGCCTGAGTATCTGCTCCGATGTCTGTTCCTCCCACTTTATACAGCTGGTAGCTGTGGAAATCTTAGGGGCTACAAGACAAAGCCAAGAACAAGAATGAGCATAGGTTCCATATGCACAAGCTGATGTAAGTACGAGAGAATATGCACTGTAATATTCTCTCTGCTTCTGTCTATGTCCAAAATGTTCCACAATAGGAAGTAAAAAAGAAATAACCCCAGCCAGACACTGGTGGCTCACGCCTGTAATCCTAGCTACTCAGGAAGCTGAGATCTGAAAATAGTGGTTTGAAGCCAGCCCAGGAAGGAAAATCTGTGAGACTCTGATCTCCAATAAACTACCCAGAAAAAGTTGGAAAGGGCGTTGTGACTCAAGTGGTAGAGCACAAGACTTGAACACAAAACGGCTCTGAGCTAGAGCCCAGGCACTGAGTTCAAGCCTCAAGACTGGCAAAAACTGAAATAACCCCAAAAAGTACCACAAGAAAACATGAGTGACTTGCTTTATAAGTGACCTTTCTACTCTGAACGTAGAAAATGCTCATAGTTAAAGATGGCTAAGGTTACACCATGCAGAAAAATGAGACAAAAAGTCAAGGGCTGGTGGCTCACACTTGTAATCCTTAGGAGGCTGAGGTCTGAGGAAACCAGTCTAGACAGCAAAGTCTATAGAGACTCATATCCAACAAACAACTCAGGTAAAACTGGAAGTGGCACTGAAGCTCAAGGGGCAGAGCACACCTTGAACACAAAGAAGCTGAGACAGAGCCAGGCAGGGCGATAGTTCAAAATCTCAGGACTGGCAAAAAAACCCAAAAAAAAACAAAACCCAAAATGTTATTAAATTACAAATTTTAGGGCTGGGAAGGTGGCTCAGTGGTAGAGGGCTTGCCTTGCATGCATGAGGCCCTGGGTTCGATTCCTCAGCACCACATAAACAGAAAAAGCCGGAAATGGCGCTGTGGCTCAAGCGGTAGAGTGCTAACCTTGAGCTGAAGAACTGAGGGTCAGCGCCCAGACCCAGAGTTCAGGCCTCATGACCGGACTCCCCCCCCAAAAAAAAAAAATTAAAAAATTAAAATTAAATTACAAATTTTAAAGTGATGAACTGAAAGAATTTGCACAGTAACTCACATATGAAATATTCCTAAAAACTAAAGAAGGAAATACTACAGCCAGGTGCCAGTGGCTTACTCCTATAATCCTACTCACGAGGCTGAGATCTCAGGATCATAGTTCAAAGCTAGCCTGTGGAAAGTCCATGAGAACCTACCCAGAAAAATAGCCAGAAGTGGAGCTGTGGATCAAGTGGCAGAGCATTATTAGCTTTGAGCAAAAAAAGCCCAGGGATAGTACCCAGGATCTGAGTTCAAGCCCCAGGATTAAAAAAGAAAAGAAAAGAAAAAAAAAGAAAAAAGACCAGAATCATTAATAGAAAAATGGACCCATGGCATAATATATCCCAGGAAAAGCACATGACAAATAGTCCTTAAACACACAAAAATATCTTCACCACCTCTCACAGGAATAAGATACACTAAAGATACATTATTTTGTTTTGTTATCTGGCTCTTTTTTTTTGTTGGTCGTGGGGCTTGAACTCTGGGCCTGGACACTGTCCCTCAGCTCTTCAGCTCAAGGCTAGTGCTCTACCACTTGAGCCACAGCACCACTTCCTATTTTGTTTTGTTTTGAGATATAGTCTTCTTGTCTCAACAGGTGCCAGTGTGTACTTAAGATTTACGTTTTTTGTCCATCATGGGGCTTGAACTCAGGGCCTGGGTACTGTCCCTGAGCTTTTTCAAAGTAGTAGGCTACTGCTCTACTATTTTGAGCCATTGCACTATTTCCAGTTTCCTGGTGGTTAATTGGAGATAACAGTCTCATGGCCTTTCCTTCCAAGATTGGCTTTGAATCACGATCCTCAGATTTCAGACTCCTGAGTAGTTGCAATTACAGGCATGAGCCACCAGCACCAGGTTTTATTTAGATTTTAAACTAAGTTTTTCCACTGGGGGCCAGTGGCTCACAGCTATAATCCTAGCTACTCAGGAGGCTGAGATCTGAGGATCACAGTTCAAAGCCAGCCTGGGCAAGAAAAGTTCGTGAGACTCTTATCTCCAATAACCACTCAGAAAACCGGAAGTGGCACAGTGGCTCAAGTGGTAGAGTGCTAGCCTTGAGCTGAAGAGCTGAGGGACAGAGCCCAGGCCCAGAGTTCAAGACCCGCAACTGATCAAAAAAACAAACAAACAAAAAACTAAATTTTTCCTAAAGCCAAAAACTATATATTAGGTATTTAATTCAAATTATAAACAATTTTAACATTAATAGTATGCAGAATAAAAATCTTTAATTTCTCAAAGAAAATATGGACAAACATTAATAGTTTCAGATTTGGGAAAACTGAAGTTCATTACTTATCTTTCAATTAAGTAATTTTCAAAATAAAAGGTTGTTGAGCTGGGCACTGGTGGCTCACCCCTGTAATCCCAGCTACTCAGGCTACTCCAAGCAGATTGTGTCATTGGAAATATAGTAAATATGGAAGTCAGGCCTTTAGTCAGTGGAAAAAGACATAAAGTGGGAACCAAATCTTTATTTATTTTTTTTGGCCAGTTCTGGGGCTGGGGCACTGACTCAGAGCTTCTTTTTGCTGAAGGATATAGCACTTGAGCCACAGTACCACTTCTGTGGTTTTCTGTTAATGTGGTGCTGAGGAATTGAACCCAGGGCTTCATGCACGCTAGGCAAGCACTCTACCACTAAGCCCCACTCCCAGCTCAGGAACTCAATCTTATGAAAATTAAATTAAGAAAAATGCTGGGCCCTGGTGGCTCATGCCTGTCATCCCTAGCTACTCAGGCTACTCAGAGCAGATTGTGCCATTGGAAGCTGGGAAGTCAATCTTTTAGTCCTCTGGAAAAGGACATAAAGTGGGAACTCCGGGGCTGGGAAGGTGGCTCAGTGGTAGAGCACTTGCCTTGCATGCATGAGGCCCTGGGTTCAATTCCTTAGCACCACATAAGCAAAAAGAAAAAAAGCCGGAAGTGGCGCTGTGGCTGAAGTGGTAGAGCGCTAGCCTTGAGCTGAAGAGCTGAGGGACAGCGCTCAGGCCCAGAGTTCAGGCCCCACGACTGGACCCCCAAAAATAAAATAAAATAAAATAAAGTGGGAACTCAATCTTATGAAAATTAAGGAAAAGTTCCGGGACTTGATGATTCACACCTGTCATCCTAGTTACTCAGGAAACTGAGATTCAAATGATCTTGGTTTAAGGTCATTTGAGCAAAAAAAAAAGTCTCAGAATCCATCTCCAAAATAAGCAAAAAGCCAGGATGAATGGAAACAGGAGGTTTTTCTTTGGTGCTGTTTTTGTTTTCTTTCCCTTTTATCTTGTTTATGTATGTCTATGGGCGGGTAAGAGGGGGTGTACAGAAATGGAGGACAAAGGGTGAACCACTGCAGCAGTGGTACTCACTGGACACTATGTTGAAAATGAACTATACAACTTCTAGGTGGACACAGGAAGGAAAAACTGGGAGAGAGTAAGGGAAAGGGTGACATCCAAAAAGAAATGTACTCTACCTGACTTATGTGAACTATAATAACAATAAAAAAAATTAAAGTTAAAAAAGCCAGGCTGAGCCAAGTGCTGGTGACTCACACCTATAATCCTAGCTACTCAGAGGGCTGAGATCTGGGGATCGAGGTTCAAAGCCAGTCCGGGCAGGAAAGTCCGTGAGACTCTTATCTCCAATAAACCATCAGAAAACCAGAAATGGTACTGTGGTTCAAGTGGTAGAGCACTCTTCTTGAGCTGAAGAGCTGACGGACAGCGCCCAGGCCCAGAGTTCAAGTCCCATGACTGACAAAAAAAAAAAAAATACAAAGCCAGGCTGGAGGTTTGGCTCAAGTGACAGAGCACCAGCTGAGCAAACAGGCCAAGTGAATATAAGGCCCTGAGTTCAAACCCTGAATTGTCTATAAACAGATAATAATAAATAAATAATTGTAAAGTACAATGAAGACACTATCATGTTCAGCACCATCATGATAAGTGAAACCTCACTCGACATGAAATCTCTGCGGCCTTCCCTCACCGTAAGTCACTCCCTCAGTTGGCTGCTGTCTTCCGTTGCTCAGATTTTCAGGTAAGTTTTTCAAAACTGAAATAAGCTACAGAGAGAGAAAGAGAGAAAGCACATGATATACTTGAGATGAACAAAGCAAACATACATTACAGTTCGGTAACCATGAAAATGAGCCAGGTACAGAGTAAGGAGGAAATTGGACTCAACTATGCAATTAGCACTAACAGGAGTGTGAAAGCAATGCTCTGTGCAGGGGACAGCTGCTACTTTGCTCCAGAATGCTGGGCCTGGCCTGCCAGTGCAGGCTGTCAGCATGAGGCCCTCCTGTCCTCAGCTAGCCACTCTCATCCTATAGGAGGAAGAAGGTAGAGAGCCACATAGAGGAGAGGGTACTCTGAGTCACAGGGCTCTGGGTTCAAATCCCACTTCATTACCTCCTATCTGTTGCATGGAAAAGTTATTTAACTTGTTTGTGGCCTTCAACACCATCATCTATGAAACAACTGTCAGTAACGACAAAACAGAAAACAAAACCCTCATGGAGTATCAGAACCTCACAAGCCAGGTACCACTGGTTCACACCTGTAATTAACTCAGGAGGCTGATCTTGGAGGATCTTCAAAGGCAGCCAGAGCAGAAAAGTCAATTGGAGATACTCTTATATCCAGTTAACCATCAAAAACCTAATAGTGTTGGGGCTGGGAAGTTGGCTCAGTGGTGGTAGAGCGCTTGCCTTGCATGCCTGAGGTCCTGGGTTTGATTCCTCCAGCACCACATAAGCAAAAAGAAAAAAGTCAGAAGTGGTTCTGTGGCTCAAGTGGTAGAGCGCTAGCCTTGAGCTGAAGAGCTGAGGGACAGCGCCCAGGCTCAGAGTTCAGGCCCCAGGACCGGACCCAAAAAACAAAAACAAAACAAAATCCAGAAGTGGAGCTGTGGCTGAAGTGACAGAGCTCTAGCCCCAGTACTAGCACAAAGAAAAAAATAAAGGAGTACAGTTTTGGTACATGAGCTAATCTTCAATCCATGGCCATCACCATTATAAATACGATCACTTCTTTTTTTTTTTTTTTTTTTTTGGGTCCAGTCGTGGGGCCTGAACTCTGGGCCTGGGCACTGTCCCTCAGCTCTTCAGCTCAAGGCTAGCGCTCTACCACTTGAGCCACAGCGCCACTTCCGGCTTTTTCTTTTTGCTTATGTGGTGCTGAGGAATCAAACCCAGGGCCTCATGCATGCAAGGCAAGTGCTCTACCACTGAGCCACCTTCCTAGCCCAATAAATACGATCACTTCTAAGGCAACACCAGAATGAAAAGACCCAGTCATGTGGTAGTTGGTTTTCGACTACATAAAAATCAATTAGTTCCTATGAAAACTGTGAACAGAGTCTGTAAGATTCACCCAGGCTACACTGCTGCAGAGGAATGAGATGTGCAAAGCCACATGGAGAAGATCGTATGTGGGTGGGCAGAATCCCAGAGCCCATGATACTAATGACCAGAAGTGGTGGGCCACCCAGGGACTGGCTATGGAAGCCAGGATGGGGTGTGGGCGCTAAAGGAGCTTTCTATGGGATACAGGGGATCACAGGTGCAAACCCTCAAAGATCACAAATGCCAGGGAGAGAAGCCACTCTTCAAAAAAAACAAATGTTAAAGTTTAAAAGTACAAATGATAAAATCACGATTTTCCTCATGAGCCCTCCCCATCCTACGTGAGTGGGAAGGTAGAATGGAGAACGGTACCATGCTGGCACCCAGTCGCGACAGCAGCACTTCCAATTCCTTTGAGGTGGTCTTTGGTGGCACCGGGACTGTTTCTTGCTTGAGAATTGGGCCGACATCAAACCTAGGAAAAATACCAAAAGGACTTGTGGGATGCTAGTGGTTCACACCTGTAATCCTAGCTACTCAATAGACTTGAGATCTGAGGATTGTGGTTCAAAGTCAGCCTGGGCAGTAAAGTCCCTGAGACTCTTATCTCCAACTAACCACTAGGACACAGGAAGTAGGGCTATGGTAGAGAGCTAGCCTTGAGTAAAAGAAGTTTAGGGACAGAGCCCTAGCCCTGAGTTCAAGCCCCAGGACTGGGACCAAAAAAACAAAAAACAAAAGGCAGATAACGAGTACTGGTTTTTGTTTGTGTACATGCTGGTAGTCACTGGAACTTAGCACCTCTCATACTCTCTTAGCTCAAGGCTGATGGACTACCATTTGAACCACAAGTCTACCTCTGGCTTTTTGCTGGTTTACTAGAGATAAGAAGAATCTTGCCAGATGTCCATGGCTCACACCTAGCTACTAAAGAGGCTGAGATCTGAGGATTGCAGTTCAAAGCCAACTTGGGCAGGCGAGTCCTCAAGACTCTTATCTCCAATAAACCACTCAGAAAACCAGAAGTGACACTGTGGCTCAAGTGGTAGAGTGCTCACCTTGAGTTGAAGAGCTAGGGATAAGGCCCAGGCCCAGAGTTCAAGCCCCATGACCGACAACAACAACAAAAAAATCTTTTGGATTTGTTTGTAAACTCTGTCCATCTTACTGCACCTCCAAAGTGGACCATTATCAACATTTAAATTCACACACATTTCAAGCAAAGGAAAAAAACAATCAGTTCTACCTTTTAGGTCTGATTTGCATAATTGTTACTCCGGTCACTGTGTCTCCGTGAAGCACCGTGTGGATGATGGGAGCCGGGCCTCGCCAGCGGGGCAGGCAGCTCGGGTGGACATTGAGTACCCCACTGAGACAGAAAATGCAGATTAGTAGAAAACCTTTACTGACTGCCACCTAAGCTACTACATGACTTGATCACTCAAGTGCGGTTATGTACTTCATGAAGCTGGGCAATGGTGGTTCACACCTCTAATCCTGGCTAGTAAGGAAGCTGAGATCTGAGGGTGAAGGTTTGATGCCAGCTTGGGCAGACAAATGCCTTCATGACTCTTTTTTTTTTTTTTTTTGTCGATTATGGGGCTTGAACTCTGGGCCTGGGTGCTAGCCCTCAGTTCAAGGCGTGCGCGCTACTGCTTGAGCCACAGCGCCACTTCCGGTCTTCTAGTGGTTTATTGGAGAAAAGAGTCTCACGGACTTTCCTGCCTGGGCTGGCTTTGAACCGTGATCCTCAGATCTCAGCCTCTTGAGTAGCTAGGATTACAGGCGTGAGCCACTGGTGCCCAGCTCCTTCATGACTCTTATCTCCAATTAACCAGTAAAAAGCTAGAAGGAGAGCTGTAGCCCAAGTGGTAGAGTGCCAGTCTTGAGAAAAAAAAGGCAAGTTCGAGCCATGGGAAGGCTGCAAGTTCAATCTCCAGTACCCGAACTAAAAACATACAAAGCAAACTCTATGTATAATTTAGCCATAATTGCTTCTTTTATTTTTAGCTGTTCCTGGGGGTTGAACTTGGGGCCTGGGCACTGTCCCTGAGCCTCTCTGTGCTCAAGGCTGGTGCTCTACCACTTGAGCCACATCGCCACTTCCGGTTTTCTGTGGTTTATTGGAGATAAGAGTCTCACGGACTTTTCTGCCTGGGCTGGCTTTGAACCTCGATCCTCAGATCTCAGCCTCCTGAGTAGCTAGGATTACAGGTATGAGCCACCAGCGCTCAGCTAATAAAATCTTATTTTGAAAGAAAACTAACGACCACAACCACTACAACTGTATTTCCTTAGGAATAAAACTTACTAGGGAAATTTAAGAATAAGAGTCTCACTCAAAAGACGGCCAAAGGAAGCCACTACCCCGACATCGAAGTCTCCTGATCCCACGTGTGGCCACTCATGTACTTGAAGCTGGGACTCCACGGCATACTGCTTCACAGGCAGGCCTTTCAAGGATGGAGAAGGTACTGTCACCACCTCCAGTTTCTCAATTAACTCTTCCTCTTTGTTTTCTCTAAGTAGAAAAAATGAGAGAAAAAAAAAATGTAACTGCATCAGAGTGATGGCCTGGGTACTGTCCCTGAGCTTTTTGCTCAAGGCTAGTACTCTACCACACCGAGTCACAGCGCTAGTTTTCTAATTGGAGATAAGAGTCTCATAGACTTTCCTGCCTGGGCTGGCTTTAAACTGCAATCCTCAGATATCAGCTTCCTAAGTAGCTAGGATTACTGGTGTGAGCCACCAGTGTCAAGCCAGTAAAAGTATTTTTATGATTAAACTCTTGAATTATTTAGTTGTTTTCTTTTTTGATTTTTGGTGCCAGTTCTGACACTTCAGCTTAGCGCAGCTTGGCTATTTCACTCAAGGTTGGTGCTTTACCATCTGAGCCAAAGCTCCATTTCCAGCTGTTTGGTGGTTAACTGGCATTTAGAGCGCCATAGACTTCCTGCCCAGGCTGGTTTCAAACTGCAATCGTTAGATCTCAGACTCCTGAGTAGCTAGGATCTAGTGTGAGCCACTAGAGCCTGGTTAAGTTTTTAACTTTTATTTAATTTTAATTATTTGAAATGTATAGGGCCGTATGTGGCTACTATTTGGATAACATTGATCTAGAGATTTCCTGTGTATATGAATCCATTATTTTACACAATTGTCATAGCACAATACTCTTCTGCTTTTTATTATTCTAAATATATGCTATTATGAGTCTTAAAAAGAAACAGCTGGTCTGTGGCACATACTTGTAATTCTAGCTACTGAAGGAGGCTGAGATTTGGAGCATTGTGATTCCAAGTCAGTTGGGGGTAAGAAAACTCCACAAGATGGGCTGGGAAGGTGGCTCAGTGGTAGAGCGCTTGCCTTGCATGCATGAGGCCCTGGGTTCGATTCCTCAGCACCATATAAGCAAAAAGAAAAAATCCAGAAGTGACGCTGTGGCTCAAGTGGTAGAGCGCTAGCCTTGAGCTGAAGAGCTGAGGGACAGTGCCCAGGCCCAGAGTTCAGGCCCCACGAATGACAAAAAAAAAAAAAAAAGAAAAGAAAGAAAAAAGAAAACTCCACAAGACTCCACCATTTCCAATTAACCAGTAAAAAGCAGGGCTGGAGTTGTGGCTCACGCGGTAGAGCACCAACCTAGCAAGCAGAGTGAGATGCCTTGATTTTAAGCCCAAGTACCCCCATAAAAAGGGGCTGAGAAACTGTATTTGTAGAAGATGGCAGAAATGAGAATGGTAGAGAGAGTGGGAATCAGGAAAAAAAGGAGTGGGGAAAATAAGAAAGCTAAGTTGGGGAGGAGGGAGCAGTAGCTCTATGATTGCCACCAATTTATCATGAATTTTCATGACAGGTTGGATTTCACATCACTTTTTCTGCAGTAAACAAGATGTGCTAAGTGGCAGACACACTCCTTGTAATCCTAAGAAGTCAGCTTTATGAATCTATTAATGTGCAAACAGTTCTTTTGCAGGGGGGAGAATTATATCCTGGTGTCAACCTTAGAAAACCGAGCCCCGCTGTGTAGTAAGAGACCCCCGAGTGTGCAGAGAACGTATCACCAGCTGAGACCAGACCCAGCCTAGATGGCTGGGAAGGCAGAGGGAAGATCCGGACCCGGATCTGTCTCCCTCGGCTCGACTCAACCTTTCTGATTCTACCCTTCCTCCCAAGCAAAAACAGGCCGGGGGGCGGGAGACCCGAGGAGCGACAGGCTGGGCGGCAATGAGGGGACACGAGGGTCAGCACCGGGCTCCCCCAATCTAGACCCCAAGGGCGGCATCTTCCGGGTTTGCAGACATGCTCGATCGGAGGCTGGGCTGCGACGGGGCGTCCGGAGCACTCGGGACTGGAGGGCGGACTCCCGGCCCCGGCCCCGGCCCCGGCCCCCGGCCCCCGGCCCCCGGGCCCCGGGCCCCGGCCCTCAGCCCCGGCCTCACCCCCGGCCCCCGGCCTCACCCCAGGCCCCGGCCTCACCCCAGGCCCCGGCCCTCAGCCCCGGCCCCGCCCTCGTCCCGGCCCCGCCCTCGCCCCGGCCCCGCCCTCGTCCCGGCCCCGCCCTCGCCCCAGGCCCCGCCCAACCCCGGCCCCAGCCCTCATCCCAGGCCCCGCCCTCGCCCTCGCCCCAGGCCTCGCCCTCGCCCCGGCCCCGCCCTCGCCCCGGCCCCGCCCAACCCCGACCCCAGCCCTCATCCCAGGCCCCGCCCTCGCCCCAGGCCCCGCCCTCGCCCCAGGCCCCGCCCAACCCCGGCCCCAGCCCTCACCCGGGTTCCGCCCCCGCCCCGGGCCGCTTCCGGCTCTGGCCCCGCCCCGCTACCTGGCGGCGTGCAGCGCTCGCAGCGTCTCCCGGGCGAATTGGTCGGTGCCGAAGAAAAGCACCCGCCAGGGCGGCTTCTTGCGAACCTGAGCATCTCGGGAGTTCTCCTGGCCGGAGGCCCCGCCGAGCCCGACGAGCGCCCGCCACTGGCAGCTCGGCCACCCGCGCACGACGATGCGGGACAGCCGGGGCCCCCAGCACCGCCGCGCCGGAACCCTCATCGCCCAGGCCGCCCGCGGCCCACATCGCGCATGCGCGGAGGGGGCGGGGCCAAGTAGGAGCGTGAAGGCGGGACTTAAGTAATAGGGGCGTGGTCTGGCAGTCCTGGGGGCGGGGCCTGACTGAGTCGGGTTCCGGAAGTGCACAGTTTAGCAACCCTCCTGGAATTGTTTCGGTAACAAATGATAACATACTTTGGAGAGGAGCCATATTCATACGATGCAGTATCATTTTCTCATTTATTGTGCTATTATGTAATATTTACCAAACACTGTGTGGCAAGATCTAGCTATGTACTTGATGTCCATTAGTACAATTAACCCTCTCGTTCATTATCTGAGATAGGTATCATTGCAGTCATTTCACTGAAGAGAACCGAAGCTCGTAGGAAGTGAGAAGTTCTGTGCAAACAGCAGAGCAGAAGTGGGATTGGGCTTGTGCAGGGGGATCTAAGGTGGTGATAGTGTTCATATATACGTTGAGCAGGCAGTGTGCCATCTGAGCATGACTCCAGCCCTGGACTTCAACTCCTGAACCTGAGATCCTAACCACTCAGCCCTCAGGTAATCTTGAGTTATTTATCCATATTGCTAAGTCAAAAGCGCCATTCTGGCCCACACACCCTTGGGTACCCTCATACCCAGGGATACCATGAAGGTAAACAGGGAAAGTTGTCCCAGAAGACCTCGCATTTCACATCCCCAAGGCCTATACAGTGGTCTGCTTTCCTGAACATGTACTAGCTCTGTCTATGAAGCGCCACCAGGTTCTAGTCTAGCCTTATCACCAGTTTCCCATCATGCTGTCTTAAACCCAATGATGCTGGGACCAGTCTTTTGCTGCACAGCCTTGCCCCAGTACCTTTGCACAAATCATGCTTCCTAGATTGAGCTCTCATATATCCATCTCTCTAAATGGTACCCATTCCTCAGTGGCAAGCTCAGCCATGCCCTCCTCACTGCCTGGACCTGAGCTTGGTGTCATTGACTCAACTTTTCTAATGTGTGCAGTCCTTGTCAACTTTACCTGTATGTTGACTAGGAAAGAGAGAAGCAGTGGGTGCTGGCAGTTCACGCCTGTAATCCTAGCTACTCAGAAGGCTGAGATCTGAGGATCCCTGTTCAAAGCCAGCCCTAGCAGGAAAGTCCGTTAGACTCTTATCTCCAATAAACCACCAGAAAACTGGAAGTGGTGTTGTGGCTCAAGTGGTCGAATGCTTGCCTTGAACTGAAGAGCTGAGGGACAGTGCCCAGGCCCAGAGTTCAAGTTCCCACCACTGACTAGAAAGAGAGAGAAAGAGAGAGAGAGAGAGAGAGGCGCACAAAAGCAGGAATTCCAATTCTCCTGCTAATCTGAGATGAGTCCCTAAGGCTCCCCTTTTTAAGAAAAAATCAAGTTCTGTCCTGATCTAGTTTGCGTGTGTGTGTGTGTGTGTGTGTGTGTGTGTGGTTTTTTTTTGGGAGGGGGGATTTAGTGCCAGTACTGGGGCTTTAACTCAGGGCCTGCCCCCTTGGCTGTCTCTCTACCACCGGAGCTACAGCTCCACTTTCAGCTTTATGGTGATTAGAGATAAGAGCATCATGGGCTTTCCTGCCTGGACTGGCTTCAACTTGTGATTGTCAGATTCATCCTCCTGAGTGGCTAGAATTATAGGCATGAGCCACGGTGTCAGGCTTAGCAATATTTAATTTTCAACAGCCTAGTTCTCCTGTGCAGCTCTGCCTCTTCCAACTATCTCAAACGCTTCACAGCGTCTTCAGATCATGCCCTGCCTCTGGTCAGGTTGACAGGTTGACAATAACCTGCTTTCCATTTCCTACATAACTGCTTTCTACCATTGGCATCTAACATTGTAATCAACGGTCTTTCTATTTGCACCAAATTTCTTTAAAAAAGCTAAATATAGCCAAGTTCAGATGGCTCACACTTGTAAACCTAGCTTTTTAGGAGGCTGAGATCTGAAGGATCCAGGTTCAAAGTCAGCTCAGGCATAAAATCCTATGAGACTCCATCTCTAACCAGTAAAAAGATAGACTGGGGGCATGGTTCAAGTGGTAGAGTACCAGCCATGAGCAAGCAAATAAAGCAAACATCAGGCCCTGAATTCAAATCCTAGTACCACATAAAAGCTAAGCATGATTATATTGTAATGGCTGGAGTTTCTCTAGAATATTAAAGATGAAACTATCTAAGAGCTGGGTGCTGGTGGCTCACGCCTGTAATCCTAGCTACTCAGAGATCTGAGGATTGCGGTTCAAAGCCAGCCCAGGCAGGAAAGTCCATGAGACTCTTATCTCCAATTAACCAGCAGAAAATAGAAAGTAGCATTGTAGCTCAAGTGGTAGAGTGCTTGCCTTGAGCTGAAGAGTTCAGGGACAGTGCCCAGGCCCAGAGTTCAAACCCCACAACTGACAAGAAAGAAAGAAAGAAACCTAAACCTCTTCCTTGTGAAGCACTGGTGATTCACACCTGTAATCCTAGCAACTCGGGAGGCTGAGATCTAAGGATGGTGGTTTGAAGCCAGTCCAGGCTGGAAAATCTGTGAAACTCTTACCTCCAATGAACCAGCAGAGAGCTGGAACTGGAGTTGTGGCTGAAGTTGGGTGAAAAAGGAAAGGGAAAGTCTCTAGACCCTGAGTTCAAACCCCAGAACTGATACCAAAAAAAAAAAAAAAAAAAAAGGCAGAGCAAAAATTAGGGGTCTTGGGAAAACAGCCAGAGCCCTGGAGAAGGCGAAGCAGGAGCAGGAGGAAGATGGTTGGAGCTCTGATTGGTAAAGTGTCCCAGGCCTGAGGTCACAAAGACTGCTTCTAGCATGGGTAACAATGCCACAGGCGGCCAGGGGAAGATCTGCCACACATCTGCCCAGTGCCAGGAGCAGGAACAGAACCCAAGGATACAGCTGCAGCCTTTGGAAAAGCAGTTCTCTTAAGTCAGACTGCTAAACTGCAGTATCTTCCCTGTAGATGCACTAGAAATCCACAAGGGGGCCCCTGTTCACCAATCTTTCCCGGATGAGAGGGTGGCAAGTAAATTCTGACTGAGCTGTTTCTGCCTTGTATGATCTCAGCAGAAGTATCTGTCTAGTTTGCCCAGTGACTTTGAAAACCAGGGCTACAAGGACACACCCACTCACCTCCCACACCATTCTCCCATTCCCCAACTTTTATCAGAAATTACACAAATACTAAGTGATAATAGATTCCCCCAGTAGGAGACATCTTGGGGACCCACAAGGCTAGGTGTCCTTTAAAAGAAAGGATTTAGGAAGTAAAAATTAGGCTGGGAAGGTGGCTTAGTGGTAGAGCGCTTGCCTAGCATGCAGGAAGCCCTGGGTTCGATTCCTCAGTACCACATAAAACAGAAAAAGCCAGAAGTGGCGCTGTGGCTCAAGTGGTAGAGTGCTAGTCTGGAGTAAAGAAGCTCAGGGACAGTGCCCAGGCCCTGAGTTCAAGCCCCAGGACTGGCAAAAAGAAAAAAAAAAAAGAAGAAGCCGAAAGACATTTGAGGGATAACGGATATGAAATTGACATGAAATTGAAATTACAGACAAAATCTTTGTAATGATGATGGTGCTCATTCATACTTCTTGTGCCTTGTGCATAGTACATGCCTCTGCTTGGGGGGGAGGTTCATGCTGGGGAACCCCTTGTACTTAAATTATACTGTGATATGTAACAATTCAGCAGTGGGACCTATCTATTGGTATAAAAAAATAGCTCAGGGACAGTGTCCAGGCCCAGTGTTCAAGCCCATGACCAACAACAACAACAAAAATTAGTGAAAAAAAAAATAAAAAACTTTGACAAACTCAAATGCCACAGCTGAATTGCCTGGAACATTTTCCCAAGCCCTGGGGCCTACTGTACACCCCACAGAAACATTCTGAGATTGTTTCCTTGTTTGTGGACCATGAGACCCATGAAGTGCTGATGATCACTTAACACAGCACCCAACCTCACCAGATACTGAGCACAGCATTACGTGAATCATCTTCATCCCTGGCTAAGTCAAGAGTGTTGTGTTTGAGAATGATTAAACTTTAGCAATGTCATAGAGCCCGGGAAGGGGGGGGGGGAGGGGGAGGAGACAAGTTGTCTCTATTCTACTTTTGGACTCTGAGTTTAGCCTGGCCCTAAAGAAGATACTCATTACACTTTAACCAGCATTAAGGGGTCAAAGTCATAAAAATGAGGATGATAAATTGGGGTCAATGGCCTGGGAAGTCTCAATACTAAGATAAAATGAAAGGGATGGAGGAGGAGCGTTCGGAGAGTGGAGAGTGGGGAAAGTACGTACTCGGGTTTATTAACATCACCCCTAGTTCTGAACTTCCTGCACTTGGCAAATATTTCTAAAATGCTTCTAGCAGAATAAGATAGATAGATAGATAGACACACAGACAGATGGATAGACACTATCTATCTATCTATCTATGTATCTACCTATATCTATGGAAATAGTGATTTGTAAACTGAGATCATTGCCCTTCAGTGTAAAGATGGCTTCCTTTTGGACACCCACCACACCTCTCCACCACCCTACTGCAGATAAATGCATCAATTTAGAGCTCTGGCTCCTACCTGTAATCCCATTTACTCTAGAGGTGAAGATCCAGAGAGTCACAGCTCCAGGCTAGCCCAGACTTGAAAAAAAAAAAAAAATCACAAGATCCCATCTCAGTGGAAGAAGCTGCATGTGGTGGTGGTGTGTGTCTGTCATGCGAGTTATGGCAGGAAGCATAAACAGGAGGATTGTGTTACAGGCCAGCCCTACCCCCAACATCCCCTTCCCCCCCAAAAAAAATCTCAAAAATAACCAGCAGGGAGAGGGGTTCAAGCAAGGGACGTGCGCCCAGCAAGCATAAAGTCCTGAGTTCAAACCTCAGTATCACAACATTTAAAAAAGGAATCAGGTAAGGAATGAATCTTCAACTATTTTAGGTTTAATTTTACCTTTTGGAAAATTTTCCTTAAGTTCCACTACTTGGTTTTCCCCCAATTTGGACTTTGC